CTGACCAAAAGCCCAGCGGTCACCTCACACACAGGACTGTCACCAGACAGCCCAGACTGACTAAAAAGCCCAGCGGTCACCTCACACACAGGACTTTGTCACCCACCGGACAATCCAGACTGACCGAAAGCCCACTGCCCATCTCACACACCCACTGGACAGCACACACTGACCGAGTGACTGTATCACTGATCTCACCATGTGGGCTGGGGAGATCAGAAGGACTGTGGCCCTGATCCCCAGCCCCGGGATCGGGAGAGGAGGCCCCGGCGGCGCACTCGCTGACCAACACTCACGTGGAGGTGATGGTGCGGAACCGCTCCTGTCCGGCCGTGTCCCAGATCTGCAGCTTGACCTTCTCGCCGTTGATCTCCACCGTGCGGATCTTGAAGTCCACCCCGATCGTGGTGATGTAGCTACCTGCGTGCAGAGGGACACAGACAGACCGCCGGGGTCAGCTGGTGTTCAGCATGGGGTGTAGGGGGGGGGGTTGGGAAGCAGGATTCTCTGTTTCACAGCAACCCTGCGTTTGAAAACAGCGGCGCGCTTGAAAGGCAGCAGTTCTGCAGGCGGCCCCTCAGGAAGCAGAATCAGAGGGCGAACCCCCCCCCCCCATCACTCAACCTCCTCGAGCACACGACACTGCAGTTACGGACCCGGCAGCTCCTGCAAAACCGAGCGGAGCGACTGCGCATTTCATAGACCACAGGATCGCTACCGGTGGCTCTGTGGCTCAGGATCTGCGCCTGTGGCCGGGAGGCTGCCGGTTCAAATCCCACGGCCGGCAGAGGAATCCTACTCTGTTGGGCCCCTGAGCAAGGCCCTTAACCCCACCTGCTCCAGGGGTGCTGTATAAACAGCTGACCCTGCGCTCTGACCCCCAGCTTCTCTCCCTGTCTGTGTGTCTCATGGAGAGCAAGCTGGGATCTGCGAAAAGACAAATTCCTAATACAAGAAATTATATAGGGCCAATAAGGTGATGTTATGTTATTGCCGGCAGGTTCAGGCTAGAATTTAATTCGTTTAACTTTCTTTGTTAATTGTCTTGACAAGAAAAGCTCTAGATAAAAATTTTGCAGGTTTCCCCCCCAAAAGATTGGGTTTGGGCGAGGTTGGTCTGTCCTGGTTTGAAGTTTTATGCTACGACGGGACCCCAGATTAACCAGCCCCTGTGTACGCGCGGATCGCAGCTGTTACTGCTTCAGACCCCCCACCGGGACGACCTCTTGCCCTGATCACGGCCAGGCGAGGCGGGGCAGGACGGGCAGCACCAAACCCGTCAGCCCAGTGTCAAAACAATGTGCTAACCCCTTCCTTCAGTTGGCCAATGGGCCCTGGAGTATTTCCTTTACTCGGTCTTCACAGATTGCCCCAGGGGCTGCTGAGCACTGGACTGCGGTGGAGTAGGGCTCTGCAGGAGAGTGAAAGAGCCCAGATCCTCCACCTCTGGGCCCTGTGTCCACTCCGGGCCTGAAGGAGAGCCTTTCTTACTGCCCTCTCTCTCTGGCTTTGACTCATGTTTATTAGCACACACTTGATCTCTTTCCTCCCATTTTTGTTCATTTTGAGCCCTAGGAAGCACAGGGGCTGATGCCTTCATCGAGGGGCTGCGGACGGTGCGCCCCCCCCAGCACCTGGAGGAGCGCTGCCCTGCCCACTCCAGCAGGTACCCACAGCTCCCCGTGAAGGCCAGGCAGACGGGCGGTGCGGCGCGGCTCTTACCTGAAAACGTGTTGTCCGCAAACCGCAGCAGCAGACTGCTCTTCCCCACACCTGCGGAGACACACAGAGGGGCGGTCAGGCCAGGGCTGCCCAGGGACCCCCGGACAGCAGGGGGAAACTGCACACCTCCTCATCCTAACATGGCTTACAGTCGGGGTTGACACAAAGGTCACCTGTTGGTTGAGCTCTTCACGGACAGAGGATCAGCTGGGGGTCCCCCTTATCCTTCTCCCTAAAGAACAGCCCCCCCCCCCCCATCTCAGGCCGAACACGTGAAGCGCAAGACAGGCCATCCGCAGGAGCACTGGTCCGACGGCTCTGGAGGGACCCGGGAGCTGCCAGCTGGAGTCGCGACTGAAAGCGAACCTGGACGCGACAAACGGCAGTCAGGACCGCGCTGCTGCAGCGCGTGCTCGGCGAGAGCTCTCGTCTTCGGTAAAGGCCTCCGTGCAGCAGCGCAGGCAGCCATCGTCACCTGCAAACACACACTGCCACCAGACATTCACACCCTCACTCAGCAACAGCCCACACATCCTCACTCTCACACCCCCACACCC